ATCGAATATGACTTGGCAAATTTTGTAATAGTTTTAAGGACTACAGTAATATATTGATGGTCAAAGCAAGCTAAATGTCATTCTTATAGTTCCCTGATATCTCTGATACCGTCATTTTTATCAGTTAATTTATGAAAGTTTAAATCTCTTGTTTTTTCTTATATAAAGCTACGCAACTTTTGAAATTTTTTCTTAAAGATTATTTAGTAATTTAAATTAATAAAATAACAATTATTTTTGTGACAATCCAAAATTTATAATAATTGAATTACTTTGGTACATTTTTAATAATTTCTTAATTTGAATTTAAATCTCGATAAATTATTATTCGGAAAATAATAGGATAATAATTTATCAAGATTTTTTAATACATTCAACAAAACTAAATTGGAAAATTGTTTAAATCTTTTCAAAGAGTTATAGGAAAAGTAAAATTGTATAGAGATGCTGTGTACATTTATTACAGTTTTTTTTCCGTTAATTATTGCTTGTCTCATAAAAGTCATTCATTCATTCATTTTACTTTAATAATTTGAAATTATTTATTTTGTATTGAACAAAAAATTATTGATAAAAATTGGTAAATATTTTAGGTGTGGTTTAAAAATAGACGTGCAAAATGGCGGAAACGAGAACGTCATTTAGTCACTCCGGATTTTAAAAGTTTTCAGCCAACAGGCTGTTTTCCACAAGCTCTTTTACCAAGTCACTCACAGGTTATAAGTATAATTATTATTTGTTTAGCCTTCTTGCAAAATTTAATTTATCTTATCAAAATTTAATTTACTTCCCTCAAAGAATTTTTGCTTCAAATATTCTTTCAAAATTGCTTTTTTTATTTTCTGCAGTTAGATGATGTTTATGGTTCTCCTTCATGGCAAGGCTATTCTACAAGAAATCCAAACACTGCATTTGGTTGGGCACTGAAATCACAAGTAAGTTTTACTTATTGTTAATTATTATTCAAAATAAAAGTGCAAAAATAAAAGCAATATTTTACATTTAATCGTACATTCTGATAGCTTTATATGCTATTTTCATTTTATATACAGTATAGCAAGGACACGACTTCCTTTTTAAAGTTTATTAACTGTATTAAATATTGACAATATATTAATTTTAAGGGACCACTACAGCATACTTTTCCACAGTTGATGGCTCCAACAACAACTAGTAATGCAGGTGCATTATCTCGCTTTGCACCAGCACAGCCATCATTTTATGCTACTGGTACCAGCAGTACTGCAAATCTAATGCCGAAGGATGATAAATTCAAGTTAGAATCACAGGGATATTGCTCATCAAATTCTGATGTGCTTAGTACTGGAATGCCTTCTCAACAATCTGGCAGTTTTTCGTTTCAGTCATACCAATATAATGGTCCTCTGTGATATCATAATTAAAGATTGTTGTAGTATCACCAAGGAAAGAAATGCTGTGAAAATCCAAAATTATTCGAGCAGCATTTTCAAAATAATTTGGAAATCAGTTAGTTTTAAATTCAGTGGAATTCCATTATTTTTATAAAAATGGAAAAAAGTAATGCTATCTCTCATATCCCTCTTTTTTGCACTAAATCAAAAAATTTACGTTGCATTGCACAATAATTAACAAAAAATTTTTAATTTTAATTTATTAAAATTATATCACAAAATGAGAGTGAAAATAATAAAGTGAAAATATTTTAATGTCAAGAATTGTTTATACGCATTTTTTGAGTTACATATTTTATTTATTATTTTATCTAGTTATCAAATTTTTGATTCAATGCTATCTTGCAAAAGTTTGCATAGGTTATTTGTAATTGATTTAAAATTGTGCAAATTACTTTTTTCTATTTTATTATAAGTAGTGCTTGCATGTTATACCATTTCCATATGGTATGTTTGTTTTTTTTTGCAAAAAGCTTAAATTTTGCTTTTTTTTTAAATTAAAAACTTATCATAGTACTCAATAGTAGCTTCTTAATTTAACTACTATCATGGAATACTAAATATTTTTTTAAAAATTACTTATTGTAAGGGATAGAGATTTTCAGAATTTGCAGAAGCTTTTGAAGATTTGTAGTTAAATTAGTAAGAGATAATTAATTTAGCAATTAGAAAAAAAGCCAATTGCATACAATTTATAAAATAGTAATAGTGTGAAATATGTGTGTAAAATTATTTCGCATCACTTCATAGAATAATAGTAATTGCATGATTTAATCAAAATAAATAAAATTAATTTGAAAATTAATTTTGCAGTGTTTAAATGCTTAAAATTTGATTGTTCTTATCTTATTTCATTCAAATATTGTGCTTGCATAGAAAAAATTTTACAGTTCAAAATTATCTCAAGAAAAAGTATGCTATCTTAAAAATTTAATTAAATAAAGCATTCTTAAATTTACTCAAGAAAGATATACCATTTCCACTTAATAATACAAGTTTTTTCTCTCTAAGGTAGCATCTTATACATTTGTTTATGGTAAATTTGATCTATACTTGAACACAATATTTATCTTAGGCATAAAATTAAAGAAATGTAATGCAGATAGTGCTGCAAACTTGACGTATTTTAGTTTTTACATCATTCCATAAATATTGACTTTAGTATTATTATTATTTTTTTATCGATAACGATAAGAAAAATAATATTTTAAACTAAAATACGTAAAAATAATATTTTAACTAAAATAGAATAATTCAAATTATTCTCAGCAAACTAATTTATTAAAGTTTGTAAGAGGAAGCTCTCGCATGCTAATATAAACATAATCAAGTAGGATTCTGTTAAAAAATGTGCAGTAATCTCGTTTGCTATATGTTGAATTGCATTGTAAAAACTTTTCATAATATATTCATAGTAGTAATGAAACAAAAAAAAAAAACTTATGCGTGGATTTTTGTAATCACGTGAAGTTTTTGAAATGTTTCTTTTGCTTTCGGTGAATTCATTATAGATTCGTGTTATTGTTTTTTTTTAATTATTTATTCAGTCTAAAATCTGTGCAGGCATGACACAGCTGAATTAGCTTATGTAATAATAATGCAAAATTGCTATAATATTATGAATAAACGCAAAAGGAATTAAAACTGGCAAGTGTTTTCGTCTTGAAAAAAATCTAATAAAAAACAAATTTGCAATTATTAACAAAGTTTGTTAATATTGCAGTTAAGATCAATTTTCACGCCTCACATTTATTATTATGTAAATTAATAAGTTATACAGTTTGTTTCAATGCTTTTGTGTGCCATTTTAAATGTGATAAAACAATTAGAAACGCTGTAACTTATTTATTCTAAACAATCTGAAGTGAAAAAAAGGAAAAGCTGAATGTAAAAACTTGTTTTTTACAGTTTTGATTGAAAAAAAATTTGACTATTTGATAAAAATTAATTATCTGAGCGTTTGTAATTGTTTCCTTCTTATTTTCATAATTTTTAAAGTTTTCTTGTTTATATTTATTTATTTACAATTAGAATTAGAATAAATGAATTTTACGAGTTATGCGCAATTGCTATAACTTTCAACTTGCAATAATGCTTTCCAAACTTTACTATTTCCATCATAACGAATCACTTTTATGAACTTTTGAACTTTGTCAGTTATAAACTTTTGAATCTTTTGCAAACATCAAGCATCACTATTATGTTCAAATCTATTATATTTAAAATATAATTCATTAATTTTTTTTCTAATTTATCTCAAAAATTGTCCATTTTTTAATTTGCTAAAATCTTAGCTCTGTGATGTTTACATAGGTTTATGATAACTATACCAAGTAAGATTTGTTATTCTTGCACTATTTGTAAAACTTTAGAATTAAGTAAAAAAATAACTGTGCTTCATTTCAGAACATCAATATAACTATTGTGTATTTCTCTGGCACTAATGTCTGAGTGTTACCATTGATTTATTACTGTAATTGATAATGCTTTTGTCATTTGACAATTTGGCAGTTGGCAAAATTTTTTCTGTTAGAAATATATCACAAATTTTGTTATCAAAATTGCTTTAAATTGGTTTATAACTTTAGAAGTAAGATAGGTAATCAGTACATAACTTACAGTATATAAGCAATGACTGAAAAAAATTCCGAGCGAGTATTTTGATCAATCTTCACTTCTTACGTGATCAACAAACAATTTTTGCATATTGTGAGGCATATTTTGTCGGGATTATATAATTTTCCATACCTTTGTCAATTATGTGATGCTTTGAATATTTAAAAGTAAAATAACTTATTGACTTTACAACTCAAAATTGGAATGTATGCCTGCTTGAATATTCAAAGTAATAAAGAAACTTAATGCCATTTATAGTTTGATAATATTAGATGGAAATATTTAGGTTTTGGAAGCTAAAGTTTTAACTTTGTTAACAAAGTTGACTTTGTTGTTAGGGTTAAATTTTTACACATTTAAGTCTTAAGCTAGACTTAAAGCATACGTTAGACAGATAGACAAATATAATAAGAACTTAAAAAGTAGAAAATATTGATAAAAAAAGGTATGTATATTATCGACAAGAACGCAGCAATATGAATATTACTTTCAGAATAAACTGAAAATTTTTCAAAAGTACAAATTTAAGAGAAAAGTGTGAAATGATTTATTCACTAGTCGTGTAGCTAGCTAACTACTAAGCAGGCTAACGTACTTTGATAGCTTTTTGCTTTGACGCAACCAATTTAATCTTAAAATAATACTTTTTGCAAATATATGCAAATTGACACGTTTCCATGCAGATAGATAGATATTTGAAGCATATAAATTTTGCTGAATGCTTTTGAAAGTGAGAATTAATCAGAATAGTTTTTGTTTAGTACACGCTTTATAATACAAATTCTATAAAAAATAATCAATTGTATTTTATTTACAAAAAATTTCAGCCATTTGTTAGTAACATTATATCTAGTTTATCTGCTAACGTGACCTTTCTTATAATAAACTTTTTTGGCATATGGCGTGCGAACGATGGCTTCAGGCCAGATTGGATAGTTTGCGTACTAAAAATCTTTTTGGCCAGGTGTAATTTTTAATTTATGATTAATTTTAGTATATTTTTTTCATGTTTCATTAAGTGCAACTTTAATTGATTTAATTAATTTTGTGAGCACTCAAAATTAGTCAATATAGATTTGATCAGTACAGAATTGATTTACGTGTTCAGTTTCAATTTAAAAACAAGCATGAAAAGAGGAAAAAACTTTAAAATACTCGAATATTTGACTTAAAAGCATGTAATGATTTTTGTTTTTTTATGTAATGTTTGTAATGTAATGTTTTTCTTTTTATTGCAGCGAAGAGAATGTGATCATTTACCACAGAAGTTGGAAAAAACTTTTGTAGATTTTGACATAAATGAAAAAAATGTTCGTGGTGAAACTCTTATCATGTCGGTGATAAGATATGAAGCAGACAAGGCTAATCAGGTGTTATTCGTACTTATTGCAAACTTTACTATTATGAAAATGAATTATGAATATGACTGTTAAAAATCACTTAAATTATATGCACATTTATATATTTTTGAAATCATAGATGCGTTATATCAATTTATTGATTCGTTCGGGATGTGATCCATCTGAACCGGATAAAAAGCAATTGCGTACACCACTCATGTTAGCTTGCATTGTGAAGAATGACACTGTTGCTCATCATTTGATTATGGTTTGTTTTTATTGTTAAACAAAAAACAAGATGAGCTAAAAAATAATAATTTTTAACAATGTGCAATTAACTTTAACATTTGAAACGAAAAAATAATAATCAAAGCTTAAAATGTTTTATAATGATTGAGTATTGTAGTGATCACTTATAATACATAAGATTAAAATAGAAATTTTACAAAATAATTAAAATGTTTTCATTTTAGCAGAATGTTAATCTTTTGTCTGCTGATAAAATGGGGAACACAGTGCTAATGTATGCGGCTATTTATTCTCACACATCACTGATGAATTTGTTGATAGAAAAATTATCAGGAAAATGGTGTATTGAAGCATTTCGAGCCAAGAATTTAATGGGTTATACTGCAGAAAGTTTGGCCAGGAAAAATGAGCGATACTTGTTTTCTATGTAGTATTTTTATCTTGAAAGCTTAAATTTATACCATTTTTTATTAGTATAAAAATATTAAAAAATGGTAAAAAGAATTATATCATGAAAGACAGATGATGTTTCCAAACAAAACTTTCATTGACTTGTGACTGGAACTTCTTAAAGTATTTGCAGGCTTTTTGATTTTAAAATTATACAAAAATCTTACTTTCAAATAAAACTAAAAAACGAAAATAGAAGCAAATTAAAAAAACAAAAGAACAAAACAATTTGAAACTCGATTAAAAATACTGGATTATTATGGATGAAAATAATGGACATAATCTCTTTAATACAAATAAATAGTGCATGTTATAAAATTCATGAATGGTTTTAATTTCTATAATTCAAGGATGCTAAGGAAGGCACGTTTACGTTTAGTGAAACGACTTCGTGATCACGTTGCTGCATATTTAACACTTCATTCAGTATTTAACAGTTGGAATATTTTTATTACTGTTTATAAGGCAAGAATTGTTTTTTCTTCAAGATAAATGAACAAAGTTAGCAGTATTTATTAGGTAAATAATATTTTTATCGTTTGAATAGAGAGAATTAAAACTAATCTTTAGTTTGTTTCAGAAATGCTTTTTACAGGCTAAGCAAAAATTTTTGATGCACAAGCAAAGATTTGCTACAACGTCACAAAACAAAAGTTCATTGCCGATAAAAAACGTCAAATCATTGTTACCATTATTAAATGTTGGTTTTATGAAGCATATCAAATATATATATATATATTTTAGTATTTAGTGAAGTACTACGTAACTGCTTAGATTAAAGCTGCTTTTCATATGCATGAAATAGTGTCCCAATTTTTATGCTTCATTAGCCTCAAATAAAAAAATTATCTCCATAGATTAGAAAAATAAAATAGAAAATACTAAGAATAATTTCACCTAATTATTGTAGACACTTAACAAAGTACTGCAAAAATTTTTTAGTTCAAGATGTTTTGCATGCTTATAAGACTTTAAATAATAAAAATACGCAAAATTAATATTAAAAAAAGTTTCATTCGATGAAGAGTAAGTTCGGAAAATTTTCAAACTCTATGCCTCTAAAACAACAAATTCTCGGAAGAAATCGAACATTTCATGCTCTTACAATTTTTATTTATTAATCATACATCAATATGAGCATTATTTTAATATTGAAATCACAAATACCAAGCTGATTTAGTAATGCTTTTTTCATATCTTATGAAATAATCAACTGAAATTAATTACTGGTTACTTTGACTTAAGAATCTTTATTTGCTTGATCGATCAAAAATATTGATAGATAAGTCAATATATATCAGGTTTAAATTTCTTGCGAATTCGAGAATTTATTTCCAATTCAGAAGACTTGTTATTATTAATTTGCAGTAATGAGAAGATATTTTAGAACATGCAAAGAAAAGATGTATCAAAAAATCCATCGCCCAAAACCAGCTTTGCTTCAAATGACCCAACAGAAGCAAGCATCAATTTACCACCTTTATTACCATCTCCAGCAAATATATTATCAACATCAATCTCAGGTACCACATGCTTTTGATGGATACCATTCGACTGTATTTACTTTTCTGTTTCATGTTCATATGCTTGTATAATTTTAAATCTTATTGCTTTTATATGATTAGAAAAATTAGAAAATATCCCGGGAAACTTATATGTCTGTATTGCTACTGTTGTATATTTGTTTTAATATATATGCTAAAATCTTTAGCTAATTAATATATAAAAAAGTGTTGCTTGATGACATTCAAAGTTATTCTTTTTCTCAACTTTAATACTCGATATCTAAATGAATGCCTATACATAAAATGTATTTATGATAACATGTAAAAAGCAGAACAAAATTTAAATACAAACATAATAATATAGATAAATTACATCAATTCAAAAACATAAAAAAATTACTGATGAAAATCTTAGCCTAGCATCATGAATATCATTAATTTTAAATAGGTAAAAAATTTGTTTGCAAACTTTCATGTTCGATTCTCAAAGAATAAGCATTTTTGATTACAGAAAAAGTTGAATAACTGAATGCTTCTTAAATTTGATCTTCTAAAATAACAATTATTAGAGTCACTAAGAATTAAACATACACTGATCATTTATTGGTGGCAAAAATTTTTGTTAACTTGACTTTCTAATAGCTCAAAATTGTGTTTAATGCATTCAAACAATACAATTTCTTATACATTTTACATTTCACACAGCGTATTCTGTGAATATATGAGATGCAACACTTCACGTGATATATTCTAAAATAAACAGAAAAATTTTTGTAAATATTTATGACTGACTTTAAATCCAGAAAGAAAATATAAAATGAAATGAATAAAATAAACTAAACAGTAGTTTCGGGGGTAGAAGTTAACTCATACTTTCTATATATCAGTTTTACATCATTATTACAATCTTTGATTTCCGATTTTTCATACTTCGTGTGCAACAACGAATTATTTTGGTATTCCTTCTGCAGTGGTTGCTTGTCTTCCAAATTTTTAGCACTATATGACAACGCATTTGCTTCTGATTGCTTAATATTTATACTTTATGAATTTCCGTTGCTAGACAAAACTTTGAATTTAGGATAACAAAATGACATTAGAAAAGGATAAAATTCAAAAATATAGCACTAAATATCCATTATTTAAAATGTTTTTAAGTAGCTTTGTACGTCATTAAAAGCTATCTCTTAAAACAACTATCGTTTACCTGTACTGGTTCTGAAACATTCAGGTGTACAATCTTTTGTTCACTTTTCTTCTGCAGATTTGTAGTTTGTAATGCTAATTTTTTTTCTTCTTCAGTTAGTCCATGGAAATCATCTAAAAACTAATTCTTAACAATAATTAAATTTTAGAAATCAGTACAATTAAATTCAATGCATTTCAGTGGTCACATTGATTGCTATTTCTTATAATTCTCACGATAAGTTTATGCAGCTATTAGAAGATTAATTAAAAAGTAATAGAAAGTTCACAAAAAATGTGCTAAAATATAGTGTGCTTCAATTCTCTTAAATATTTGAAAGTAATGCCTATTCGACTAAATTAATGATTACCATTCTTGGTATTAAAGTAATCTGTCCAACCAGTACTTACTGCTAACAATTCATCTAAAGTTAGATTATCATAGTCCAGAGATTCTGATGACCAAAAATTTGCTTGCTTATGTTGATTTGGAACCTGCAACAGTAATCATAAATAAGTAAAAATTATAAAAAAGCAATATAAATATGCTGAAATATTGCAAAATGAATATAAAATATTTTCAACTAATTTCCACTCCAATCAAATTTTTATTGAAAAAATAGCAATCAACTACTTTGTGAAAAATTAGTTAAGAAATTAGCGAGTAGCGTACAGAAGTCGATCAAAAATAGTAACAATAAACATGGAATTGTATGGTTTGTTACTTTCGCAGAATAATGGTTATTTGCGGTTAAAATTGGCAATGCTTGCTGTATCTTCGACAGTGAATAAGAATTGGTGCAATCAAGTTCTTCATTGACTGATGAATACTTGGTTAATGAATTCGAGGGACACCAAATTGGACTTGTTTCCAGAACATATGACTGATTTGAATCCTTTCAATTACAAAAATTGAAACATTTTTGGACAAATTTGATTATTTAAAAAATGCATAATTATGGCATAAGCTATCAAAAAGCATATAGTTAAAAAATCTAACAATTTTGAAAAATCTATAGCAAAAGAATAGTACCGAATAATGAATTTTTAGAGATAGTTCGAATATGAATTTGAATGGATGTTGACTAACTAACAAACACTAACAATGTTTTCTAATTTATCAAAACCTACTACTTATTATAACCTTTTTAGAATGTCCCACAAATGACTTATAATAAAATTCTTCAGTATCAGCGGTTGCGCGTTTCAATGGCAAAAAAGTTGGTTTTGAATGTTTCAAACAGCTTTCAAAAGGGATAACAGTTTTATTTGTTGATAAATTAGATGTGCTCGCTGATTTGCATACACTGTGCAATTTCATTCCTCTAAAAATAAATGCTGCAAATGTATATATGCAATAACTGCATATTAAATTAACTTATAAAAATTAATTACCATTCGAAATCTTACGTAAAATCTGAGTAAGTGCTTTCATAATTATAAATTAAAATTAGAACTTCTTGCGCGTACATCATCACGTATGTAGGTTTTGGTTTCCAGACCATATTTTTTTTACTTATATATGATATTTTTTACTTTTTAAATATTATAAATTAACAAAAATTTTCATCCTTTCGCATCTTTTAATACTTTGAAAGAGTAGGTAATTATCATAATTTCTTCTTAAATTTCTAGCATAAAATGCACTTGCAAATCATACTAATCCTTTATATCTACCAAATATAACTTCCAAATCATTTCAAACTTACGGGATTCAGAGACTACTTTGTTTCATGCTTTGCAACTTACATTCGCTGAAGTCAAGAATCAGGTTTCATCTTTTTTCTCAATAGAAATTCGTACTAGAGCCATGTAATAACTGAGAAGAAATATTTAACCCCGTGATCTTTTATGGATATTTAAATTAGAATCTGCTGTATCTTTGTGAATAAATTCAAAGAAAACCGCTTTTTTCAGAAGATTATAATATTATGGAGAAACAACAGCCTTTGCAGAAGAATTACTTTTACAGATTTATTGTTTTCTATTGCATAAAATAAATGCTTGAAATAAAAATGATAGCCTTATTTGTACAAGACGTAAAGATCTAAAATAATGTTATCGTTTAAGCTAATTTCAATGAGTCAATCATATTTGGAAATTAAATCTTACATAGCTGGAAACGATGTGCTTGCTTTGTAAAGAGCATTGTTCTCGATATACTGTATAACTTCGTCGTTTGTACAATATCGTATTGATTCTTTTCTTCGAATTGCTGTTCTGAAAATAGTTTAATGACTTTTAGATCTAATTAAAAAATTTGGAAAATTTGTGTTAGTGTTCAATAATAATTTGACAAAACATTGATTAAGCTAATTTGATAATTACATATCAAGTTTTCAGCAGAGTAAACCTTGGATAAAAATAATGTAAGTTTACACAGAAAGGTAGCAAATTATATTTGCTAATATATAATAGTTGAAAAAAACAAACAATATATTCGAACCTTAAACGAGTTGAACTGATGTCGTTTGGACAAGTTTCATCTTCAATCACAAAAATATTTCTCTAAAAGTTAAAAATAAAAAAGCAGTTTAAAATTTTTTAAAATAATTTTACTTAATAAGACATTATTGACTGTTTGGGGAACAAAATTTGATGTCTAAATAAATAAATACCTGATGTTCACGGAGTACATCAGCAAGATAAATGGCATTGGCAGGATCGGTATTTGCGCGCATTACTACAACTACCCCGAAATCTCGGACAATTTCTTCTATCTATAATTCTAAACATGTAAGTTTACTGATGAGCAAAATTCAATATGCATTACAGAGCAAAAATTGAAAGTTTACGAGCTTTATAATCAATCCATTGCTTCTTTAATCAAACACATAGTCGTATGAGTAATTGAAATAAAATCTTGATCTAATTAAAAAGCAGGAAGGTAGCATTTACATGAATAATGATGAAAGAAGTAAGCAAACTTGTTTAGTGTTCCAGAGCATCACATCGGAAATGGTTAATTTTGTTATGCTCTCGATAACATCACCGCCACAAAGAAATAATAACTGAATACCGCCATGCTCACTTCCATATTTACACATCAAAGCATTCTTGAAATGATTCAGAACATGAATTGTTTTTGTCCATTCACCTTGTGAACACTCCCAGCCATCTGCTCTAAAATAAATCTTCTGAAGCTAATCAAATGTTAAGTAAATAATAACTTATAAAGTATAAAATGTACATTGCTGATTTATACTAATAGCACACAAACAACTATTTACCTGATCCAGGATGATGATTTAACAGCTAACTGCACCATTTTCAATCTATGTTTAGCTGCCACCATATCAGATCGGCCAAGTTTGTCTGCTGTTGGACTCATTATGCCCTCAACAACTTCACATCCATGAATTTTCTCGAGATAGTCTCGAGCACGTTCTGCAATATTCTTTGAAATACTACATCAAAGATATTATGCAAAATTTTATTACTATTATTAGTAAATACCATCAAATTATTAGCTTTTACTGACAAATTAAAAAGAAACTTTTATTATGCAAAATGACATTTTTTTTGGTCAATTTCAGTTATATTAACGCCAATGCTTATTATATATTCTTCATTTATTTTTTCTAGTTATAGAATAACCAATAAATAAGATAAAACGATAAATTTGTCATAACAGCTCAAAATCCAAAAAAATAAAAACAAAAAACTAAATGATAAAAAATCCATACAACTTGATATGGTAAGCTAAAAGAAAATATAAAATTAGAAGCATTATTAATTCAATTTATTTGAATAACTTTGACATGAAATGAATATTCTTATTAATTTGATCTTTTTGAAAATGGAAGTTAAATTTTGATAACTGATCAAAACAGTAGATATTATATATGCTTAATAAAGAAGCTATTGCTGATAAGAAAATTATCAATTCGACCTCAAATATGCTTGAAAGTTATTAATATTTTTTATCTTCTGATCATACTCTAAAATTGATTGTAAACAGAACACAATGCATAATTTGAAATTTTTAAAAAAATTTTCCTCAAAAAAGTAATTTTTTAAATTATTTATGCAATTAGAAATAGCTAACCAAACATTCGAAGATGCATGTAAGTTGGCGGACTAAATGAACCAGATGAAAGCAAGGCTACTCGTCTGAAAGCTATTTGTGACGAGATAGCCTTCGAATTTTTTTCCATCAAATGCCACAAGCATCACATTATATTTTCATACACACTCTTTCATTTCACATATCTTCTTAATTTTTGCTATCAGTCACCTGCAATCATTTCATATCTTTGTACACAAATGTTTATTTTTGATAATTTCATTAACAAAAGTTTATGCAATACAATTCATCATTTCACAATTATACTATAAATTTGTGATTACATCTACAATACTAATTTTTTAATTTACAAGCAATAACTAAATACGAATAATTCATAAATTATGGCTTGAAAAGTATTTAACAAATTTTATAACACAGTTAAAAATAAATAAGTATTTCTGTGTCTTACATTTCCAACTTGGAACAAAACAACTTTTTCATAAAACTGACGAAAAATTAAGGCCTCTAAAACTTTTCATTTTTATTTAGACATTTTGTTTCAAAGCTTTTTTTTAAAAACTAAATCAACTAAAAGCATCAAAAATATCTTTTACTGACACAAAAAATGCATAAAAGAAAAGGGATGTTTCAAATCGTAAACAAATTTAACATTATTGCATTCATATTTAACAAAGTTCAAAACAAAATATGATAAGTTTTGTAATGAATTGTACGCTAGAAAAAATCCAATTCCATTACTCAATAGATGGCAGTGATTTTGAGTCATTAAAAACATAACTATTTTGCTTGCATTTTTATTATTGTAAAATGATTTGCAATTACGTCTTACTGTAAAAAACAAATTTCAATAAAATTAAATTTACGTGCACTTTTAATGCGTAAATCAGTCTTTCAGTAACTGATCTCATTTATCTATTGCATAGCAACTCAATGCTAAGTGTTGTGAATAACGTTTGATAACTTTTTCAAGAACTATTACTTAAATTATATTTTGAATAAATTTTTTACTTCTTTGATTTAACAATTAATGATAAATTATTATCTGTTTGGTACTAGACGAATAGAACACATGCATATACAGTTTAAGGAATCGAAACAAGTAAAAATCCAAAGATTCGCTTGAACTGAGAGAGAAGAAGCAAAAGCATAGCTAAAAAATTTTTTATAATAAATTTCTACTATTTGGAAAAATGTATAAGTCAGATGCGAAATGAACTTGTTATTTGGTTGAAAAGTCCATATTCAGCAAACATAATTGAAAGTAGAAAAATATTTTCTTCTGCTAAATGAAGTAAAACTTAAGTGAAATATCTATTGAATGTTAATATTGTTACAGTATTTTCTTAAACTTTATTTCTTGAATTGTAAAAAAAATTTAATAGCTTCAGTTAATAACTTCAGATATTTTAAATTATATTCATGCTCTTGAAATCACCAAGACGGAAGATCTGTGTTTAGAATCAAATTAATTGATGAGATGCACAGTTTTACAAAATAATTATCTTATTAGCAATCATTCGCTTCAGAATATTGTTAATAATTTTACTTCCATGAATAAACTTTTTCACATTTTTTGAGATTGCTTCAGAAATTACCGAATAAAAATTTAGATATAAAACACTATTTTAACCTATTTATTGTCATATGAAAATTTAAAATTGGAATTACTTATTTTGGATATCACTAACTACTAAAACTTCAAACTAAAAACGAAATAAAAGATACTGTATATTGAGCTGAAGATTAATCAACATTAATAAGTTTGAATTAATTGGAAGAAAAAAATTTTTGAAACTGAAATGCTTTTGCTAAATTTCATTACTCATATGACATCTGAAACGGTGAATGAATAAATGAGGATGTAAGAAATAAGTGCAAAGTATTAGAAGAAACATGAAATTTATAACCAGACGTGCTTTCTATAACAGCATGATAATGATAATAAGCTACTATAATTCATGATTTTTTTTAATCTGTAGAAAGATAAATTGGATAGACACTTTCGAGTGCATGAATAACGGAAAACTGTGGACATAAATTGAATTGTTATTTTCATAATATTTTATTCGATTACTATTATTGAGTAACGTTGGAAGTAAATTTTTTCAAATAATCTTTGAAATAACTCGCAGCAATTGGCTGAAAAACTAATTGTAGAAATTTGAGAATAGAATGCAAACTGATTTTGGTTTATTAAATTCTGAAAATACTAAAAAAGTCATACTGAATGCATTATAAAACTCAAACAAAGAAAGTAAACTGCAAAAGGCAATCAAAATTAAATAACCTTTTAAGCAACTTGCAGTAATAAAAAAAATTAGAAATTGATGATGCTTGAAATTTATCTGCTTGCTTGAATTAGCGAGAGATATAATAATAAATCAGCAAAACAATATTATAATATAAAAGATTTAATTAATGACAAAAGAATATGAATAATAAACATTTAAGATCTAAACTTGCTAAAGTTCTATTATTTATATTACGAAATGAAAAAAAATTTATTTAAATGTAATGTTTAGTAGTTATGCTTTTCTTGCATTTACTTAATAAATGGATCATTTGCGTGAATTGTTGCTTAAAATATGATAATGTTGTTTGTTTAAATTTACATCAGATTAGCTTCCTTCGAAATGTGCCCATAAATTTGATTTAATAGCTTGCCAGCTCACCTCAATTTTTCAATTTTTTTTTTCCTTTGGATTTATCAACTTGTTGTTATTGCCTTTAGTTGAATTAGTTATTAGTGACGCAAAATCTGTACAAAATTTTCTGTCTTCTATTTCAAATAAATTTTATAATAAATAGAAATAATGTCAGTATTGAAGCAAAAATATTAAAATTTTTAAAAATTATTTAAAAGCTTTATTAATCATTTTTTAATAAAATATAGAAAGGCATTATGAGACGTACATGTAATAAAGAGAACTGAAAAATGATAGAGAAGTGCGAAAATATTTATTATCACAAAAAAGCTTGAAAAAAATAATTTCTTATGAAGTGAATGTGATTGATAAATTTGTCAAATTCACTTTAAGCAAATTGTAATTGATTGATTAGTGAATTTTAACAAATGAAAAATAATTTCTTCTTCATAGTTACAAGGTAAAAAAGATGTAAATGAAAGCATAGAAGAAGCAGAAGTCATATTTGGTAAGCTTGAAAATGAAGCAATGAAAGAAGAAACTTCGAAGTCAGCAAAGAAAGAAAGATATGAATAATTGAGAAGAATGAAATGGAAATAGGATGGAGTGGTTAAAATCAAATTAGAGTTTGCACGAAAAATAAACACATTAGATCGGCTCTAACTAGTCAATATAAATCAACGAAACATTTCAAAAAGCTTCTCCAGTTTTCCATATAGCAGCTGCACATCAAACTTACTCCATCAGTATTTATTCACGAACACATTTATAGAGAAGATTATACATACATGCATGCTGGTATATAATTTAATGTATTCTTAAAATACTCTGCAAATTAAGTTACTAAGAATTATTTAATTTACAAGAGCTTGAACCTTTCAAAATTCTGCATTTTTTGTAGCTAAAAGAATACCAAATGTAAAAAAGTACCATCAAAAGTTAAGATTTTGAAAAAAATTGAGTAGAAAAAAACAGTAATCAATCTTTTATTATAAATGATGAGAATTTATGCTAATAAACTGAATGACAAATTAGTGATTCTTTGCATTTTTATTTCAATTCTATTAATCATTATTTCAAAGAGCTTGAGAAAGTGAATGTTACTGCTAGAGTTTACAGTTAAACAAAAGTGAGAAAATATTTGTTTGTTCGTTTTTTAGATCAAAAAAGTCTGATCATATATTTTTTTCAATCTCAACAATACTTCTGTTCTTTGTCAGTTTTGACAACACACTTTTGAAATGTTCGTCCTCACTTTTGTATTTGTTATCTGGCAAATTCTCCCAACTGTATTTCAAATGACTATACACTTTTAGGAAGTCAAAATTTTAAGAATTTGATATTTACAAATCTGTTCTTGGATGTTTCTAGAACATTAGTGAATTTTGCAATGCTAGCCTTCTGAAACAGTGATATTTTGTCTGTTTCCATTGACTTTTTTATTTTCGAATTTGCTTAACTGCTTGTCTTCAACTGAATAAGAACCATAATGGTAGTAGTGAACAGATCCAGGTTAATTTATAAGATGGTTGAGGATATTGGGATAACTAGTAGTATTATCATTTGCAAGTTAGTAAACAAGTTAATTTGTTCAATAAGACTGATTGATCACAATGCTCTGTATGATGATATTTACTAACATCTGATATAAAATTGATCATTTATTCAGCAATATGCGAATCATAGGGCTCAATAATAGTCATCTTCTTTCTTTACATAACAATGAATAAAAAATAAAAAATCCCAAATTTTTTACTTTTTTATTTTTATTTTACACGGTTAAACAAAAGCCCAATTACATAGTTATCATATATTAGGTATATTGATATTGTAATTAAAAAATTTGTGATGTAACTTTGAGGTGAACTACGGATGTGTGATTAAAAACAGTTCAAAGTTTAATTGAGTTAATTTCAGTATCGTCACTACCAAACTAATAGAAACAATCCAAGTTCTAATTTCCATGAATACGTAGAGAAATTTGCTTCATAATGTTGTAATTGAATGAGAGGTAAAATATATTAAACTAGAGATGTAAAGTGCTTCAATTATATATTTTTTGGATTAACGCTAACTATTCAAGCTAAGATGCATTTCTCAGTATAGTGATAATAGCGGCGACACTGCTCCATTACCAATGCTTATCTTTAACTTTCTATCTTTGATTATTAATTTTGATTGAGGAACAGTTCAAATTATTTAATTATACATTTGCTTATCTGCTTTAACCATGTCATCTGTGGTATCAATGGGTGCTTTTCATGCAATACCTCACTTAATTCTTTCAAGAATAACCAATAATTGCAAAGACGCAAAAGAACGCCTCTTATTTTTCTTCGAAGGTGTCTTTTCTGAAAGTTTAGCTTTTGAAGTGCTTACAAATTGCTGAACTGCTGCTTCAAATTTTTTAAATGCATTCAAGTTATTGTGGTGATACAACAAGCAGGAAGACCAAAATTTCTTGCAATGAAAACTTTCAATC